GTGCTATATGCGCTAACCCTCATGTTCGGGGCATGCGATTGGTCCCGTGGCGCCAGCTCAGTGTGATTGAGTGTCACAAATGATGATTGGATGATGATATAATTGATTTGGAAATAGACTGTGACCTTAGTTGCGTATTCTTTATGATGATTCTACTTAACTGTTATCATTGATTATTGTGCTTACCCCTATTTGCTGAGTCCATTCCTGGTTTTAAAACTAGAGTCTCTTAAGTATATATCTTCCTGCTTCAAAATGATTTTCATATATCTATATATATCTATCTATAATGTATTTCAACGCGTTGCAGTGGGTTACCGGTATCTTTTGCTGAACAGATATATGTGGCTTTCAAGCACAGATGATTAGCTCCTAGAGCGCGCTAGAAGAACTTGGAGTAGATAAATAGTTTTCCTTTCGTCCTGCATGCCATGATGATGTATTGAGGATATTTAGTTAGTTTAGCCTGTGCATCTGAGTTCTCCAGCTCAGATGTGGCATAGCACCCCGCACTCGTACATTTAGTATTACTCTGTTTTGGGATTCAATGAGAATTGGCCTTTGTTATATAAGTTTTAAAAGTTTCAAAATTTCGGGGTGTTACACTGCCCGCTGCTGCGCGGCGTTAAAACTAGCAGCGGGTAGGTGGCAGGTCCCCCTACCCCCCACTGACTCCTTTTCCAAAATATAAGTCCCGGGATCCTCCGTGGAACCCGAAACCATGCTTAGACACTTTTAAACGTAAATGACGACACCACGTAGACAATTAACGGATCAACAGCAAGAATCTCATAGAACAGAACCTATCATGACTTCTAAACATAATCAACACCCGAACATGTGAATTCCCACCCAAATATACCAAGAATATCCCAATACGAAAGTCACAATTCCTACCCTTACTAAAGTTGGAAAGACAAGGGAACAAGGGCACAACTCAAGAAGCACAAGGTACGACCCTTTGACTTTAGGTGACTAGTCAAAATCTAATCCCTCGACTATTGAATTTCAGGATTTTTAGGAATAAATTAACAAAGAGACTAGGATTAATTCTCTAATTAATCTTTGATTAGAGTTTGGATTTACGAGTTGTCACATTAGAACTCCTTTACCAAACTCAGGTAAGTCTCAGTCCTAATTGCGAGATACCCATCCAACAATCCTTGGTAATTCAACAACTCCAAAAAAGAATTCGAAAAAGAGTCGGGATCAAAAGCTTTACCTTCCAAGACTAGGTAATGGGCATCCACCCATTCCACTCTTCTCGTAGATTTAGACCTCATAGGCATGATTTGAGATGACCAAAACCAAGGTAGACCCAAACTTCTCATTTTTTTTTCTCTTTCTCGGCTCCTCGACTTCGATTCCGGCTGGGCGACGGCGAGACGGCGAGGCGGCGCGACGGGATGGGGCGGCTGACCGGCGGCGACGGGTGGCTGTGGTCGACGGGCAGGGGTGGTGCGACGGGTGGGGTGGGTTGGCTGCTACCTTGCGGGTGGAGGAGAGAAAGAGGGAAGAAGGGTTTTGGGAAAATTTGGGGAAAGAAGATTTTAATTTGGTGATTTTTGGGGTAATTTGGAAATTATAGGTTAAAAGGAATTTAACTGGAATAAGGTTTAAGAAACACAATTGGTTTAGATGGTTTAAAGGTTGGGTTGGAAATTTGGAAACTTGGGTTCAAAACTCATGTACTAGTTATGAATTAAACTCTCTTTAACTTTTTAGGCTTAACTTAAAGCTTCGGGATTAAAACTAAAGTTAACCACTCAAAGGAACAAACAAACCACAAAGGAGGAATTCAGTCAAAGGATAACAGGGAAAAACACACAAAAGGATGCAAGGATAACACGAAAAAGGTACGCTCGCAAGGTAAAAGGTAGGCTTTAGAGGGGTTACCTGCGGGCTCTTCCTCCACCAAACCTTCGGTCTCAGCTTGCGAGCGGCTCATCACGAACACTCTGCCCGAAGGCTTCGTCCTTGCCACACCTCGACCGGAACCTCCTCCCTAAAGTCCACTGGAACCCGTGCTAGGTGGCAAGGCTCTCTGATTGGATTGGAGTCGGCACTGGAAGGCTTTGTGACCCCTTTCCCCGCACTTGAAACACCGAAGCGCGTTCCCTTGGCAATCCTTGGGGTCTACTTTGAAAGGTTTTAAAAATTATTCATTTTCTCAGAAGTTATATGCATTGGTAAGGTAAACAGTTGGAAACTGTATCTTTAAAAAGACATCATTAATTAGCCGAATTTTGGATACACATGATAGCAAATGACATCGTATTACGTGGGCGGTAAAAGGAAATAGACAGTAACTTATTGGCAAAACGACGTCGTTCAGACTGGGCGGGAGAATTTTGTTGGCATGAAGTTCTTGCTTTATTATAGAGTTAGATAATTAATGTTTTTTTATGTGACAAGAAAACTACACTAATTACATGATGTTATTAGTTATATACAATGTAAATTATGTAAATCGCATGAAGAATACTTGTCCGCTAGGAGTCCATATACATGTATTATGTATGTGGTATGTAAATAATTGAAATCATCTTTTGTTTCACTAAAGCATATACATATTTATACTGATTCCTAAACACCATATATCAACTGGTTTCATAATTCTTTGCAGAGCACAAATATATATTATGTCCTTGTTCATTAAAAACTCCGATTCTTTTTATTTTTTTAATTATTTTTTTTTATCTCCAAGTTATATAAGGTAACTAGTAATTGACCCGCGCGATGCACGGAAAAAAATATGTTATTATAAATATAAATAAAAAAATAAAAATATTTTAAATTGTTTAATATAATAATATTTTTGAGCTTCCATTGGTCAAGTATTTATTATTTTTATAGAACATAAAATTACAAATAAAATTAAAATTAAAATTTTGTATGGTTAATATAATCTCTTTTTTTTTTTTTTGAATGCGGTTAATATAATCTCTAATTATGTACATATTCAAATAAACTTATAAGAGAATTTACATAATTACATTGATTACATTGATTTATTCTTAATTGTATTTCATCTATATATAATTTTCACAATACGAATAATAACTAAGATATTCTTTATGCACATGTCATTCCATAAACTCACATGTCATTCTATAAGCCCAAGACTACTTTTTGTGGAGATAATTCAAATTGATTTTTTTTTTCTTTTAAAAGTCCTAAGTTTAGAAATCCAGAAAAACATTAAAGACTCATACGATATATACATTTATATATTTAAATTTTTATTTATGTCTCAAATGATTTTTTTTTTCTAATTGACCCACAGTCCGCAGCATTTTTTTTCTTCATCCCTTCTCGCTTCTGTCATTTCTTTGAAGCATTTGAGAAGATAGAAAAGTACACTCCACAATCTCTACCTGTAGAAGGTGGTTCCTTAATGTCGGGCTCCATTTTTTCTACCACTTTCCATGATTCTTCTCTTTTGTTTACTCCTTTTTTTTTTTTATAGGTGTGATTGTTAGAGCCTCCTCTACATTCTACCGTCTTTTGTCTCCTCCGCCGCCATGGCTATGAAAATACACAAATGGTAGGACAAATTGCTGCAGTTTACGCTCACATGGATTTGATCTGGGGTGTTTTATAGGAGAAAAATTATATGTAGAGGCTTGTATTAATTGCACTTTTTCGGATATCGAATAGGCTTTCATCGAAAATTTAATTAATATTGTAATCCCAAGAAGCACCATAGATAACAAAAGCATATATCAAATAGACTTTCATTGTAAAGCCAGAGATTTAATTAATATTGCAGCGTTTCATATTTTCTATTAATCGGGAATCAGAATCCTTAATCATAATATCATAACAGTTAATAACTCCATTAATTCAATAAATATAATCCTTTGTTATGGGCAAAAAAAAAAAAAAAAAAAAAAAAAAAAAAAACAGCTATTTTATTTTTCAAATGTTGTGCTTTTTTTTTTTTTTTAATAGTAAAGAATGTTGTGGCTATTTTATAATAATAACTTAATAAGAATAGAGAGATAATAATTGTAACAATAATTACTCACCAAAATAATAATTGTAACATTAATTACTTTCCAAACCATATAGCTTTATTATAGTTAAGATAATAGAGTCAATCTCTATATTATATACATAATCACTTTTAATTTTTAAGTTGTTAGCGAAATGGCATTTTCATTTCTTGTCAGCCATTTCTCCCAACGCTACATGAGCGGCAAATTATGCCGTGATCACATGCCCACCTTGCAAGGTGTGGACGGTTTCATATTCATAATTTATATACTATAGATTCATAATTTATATACTGTTGCATAATTCCTATATTGTAGATTCATAAAATTTATACTTTAAATTTCAATTGTTGAATTCTGTTTTCACAAATCAGAGAACTTTATGTTCACAATTGATAACTATACAGTTTAGAAATTATGAATCTGCAGTATAGAAATTATGAATCTATTGTATTTAAATTATGAATCTATTGTATTTAAATTATGAATTTATGATTTAGAAATAATATATCTAAAGTATAAAAATTATGGATCTACAGTATAAAAATTATGAATCTACAATATAAAAATAATGAATATAGAATTATACCTACCTTACAAGATGAACACGTGCTCACAGCATAACGATCCTACATGAGGATGCTTAGAGCGGCTGGAGATGTTAAGGTGGCCTATAATTGCCCACAACCTGCTCGCTTTAGGCGGTAATTTTTGCTTCCTAGCGTAAATAATTCAAGCGTGGTTTTGACTCCCTCGGTAAATAACCCAAAACCAAATAGTCCTCCAAGTAAATTCCAACAATAATGAGTTAATCACTACTAAACACCATTGACTGGTTTCATAATTTCCTTGCAGAGCACAAACATCCAAATATCCAATGAGCTAGCTAGATTGCTGATATCTTGATTTGATTTGATTAGCTTAAATATAATTAGTGGAACCCTATTATTCAAAACTACCGTAATATATTTTGATGTTACAGAAATTAAAACGTAATTTTACTTTGTCCATAGAAACACTTTATATATATAGTTAAATTCACATATTGTGCATTGGCTTCAAAGATGAAAGTATAATAATGTAGTCTTTAATAATTTTACTGTAGACACATGACACATACACACATACACACATACACACATACATATTCAGGTGGGTTTGACTAATAAAGATAATGAGAGAGGCGGGGAGCTATGAGAATTTCAAGTGGTGTAGCTTTGATGTTGGTTAGTCCTGCAGTCTCAGTCATATCAATTCCTTCATTAGAGACATTTGAGAGCTCAAAAGATTGTAACAAATTAGCCAACACCAAGTGCAACATTTGAAGACCAAAAGTTATTCCTGGACACATTCTTCTACCCGCACCGAATGGGATCAACTCAAAATCTTGTCCTAGAACATCAAGGTCTTTATGATCATTAATAAACCTCTCAGGTTTAAATTCTAGAGGGTTAGACCAAACTTGTGGATCTCGTTGGAGTTTCCACACGTTAATGAACAACCATGTGTCTTTTGGAACATGAAAACCAGATACGGTGCAATCATTAGCGAATATTCTGGGACCTCCTAGTGGAGCTCCAGGGTATATTCTAAATGCTTCTTTGACAATAGCTTGAAGATAAACTAAATTATTGACGTCGGATTCATCAACCTTTCTTTCCCTGCCAACTACCATGTCTAGTTCTTCTTGAGCCATCTTCAACACATGAGGATTGTTCATCATCAAAGATAGAGCCCAAGTTAGCATGATCAAGACTGAATCTGCTCCTCCGGCCATCATATTCTAATATACAAAATTTGGGTAGTTCAAAACAATTGTGTTTTAGATATTTAGGAATTTAAATTCAGGAATGATAATCTGATAAACCAAGATCACATACCATGCAAGTAGCTTTGATGACGGTGTCACTTTTGTAACCATTAAGATCAATCCCTTCTATTCGTGAAAGCATCGCATCAATGAAATCTTCATCGCCGCCATCAGCCACGGCCTCTTTCTTCCAGCGATGCTCTTGTAACCATTCGTCAACTAGAGAGTCCATTTCTTCAGCAACTTCTTTCATGGCTTTCTCATGCCCTCCTATATCTAACCATCCCAAGAAAGGCAGGGCATCCGCCGGCACAAAAACCCCAAGAAGGTGAAAAAAATCTCTAAGTACCCTCTGGCAACGCCGCCCCCGGCTTTCATCACCCGCAGCTGCCGTCCCGAAGTATCGTTTTCCGACCACCATTCGAAGGAAGACGTTGAATGTTAGGTCTCCGAACCACTTCTTCATTTCCACCAAAACATTGCCGGAATGGTTCGGATTTTTCTTTTCCGCCCAAAGCTTATAGAGCTCCTTTACAGAGGTCTCGATCTCCGCCACTCTTATGTGCTTCAGCTGCTCAATCCGCCGGTTGGAGAGTAGCTCCGAGGAAGTAAGTTTTCGCATCTCGCGCCAGTAAGGACCGTAGGGAGCGAAAGAAACCATTAGGTAGTTGTAGCCCAAGTGCTGGGCGGCTCGAAACTTGGGACGAGAAGAAATATGAACGTCGTGGGAAGTGGAGAGTTCTTTGGCCAATTTCCAGTCGCTGATCACCAACACTTTGTGCACGCCGATCCGAATAGTAAAGACCGGTCCATACTTGTCAGCCATGTCTCCCAGAGCTACGTGAGGAAGATTAGAGCCTCCGAAGAGGTAAAGGTGGCCGAGAATCGGCCAAGCTCCACCGGCTTCAGGCGGTGATTTTTGCTTCGGAGACTTGTTCTTGTGTGAAAGATAATGAAAAAGTATCAAAAAAGCAATAGCTACAACAATAATTGAAGTATTAAGGTCTTGGAGAAGAAATTCCATGGTTTTGGTGTGAATAAGTACTGTGGGTTAATTGCAGTGTGATTATTATATATATATATATATATATATATATATACATATATATATATACTAACTTCCGCCATTGGCGTATACGTGTGTATATTTGATTGGATATGATTGACCAAAATTAGATAAATATCTTTACAGATAACGCTATCAAAATTAAGCACCAGCTTTCGTGTACGTGTTGATCCCAAGATAGAAAATGACTCTGCTTGTCTGCTTGTAAAGAAGTCTATGAAATGGATGTTACTATACGGGCCCACCTCAAAAGATAAAAGGGTAATCGTCAAGGAAAAATATTAAGTGTATTCTTATTTTTTACAAAATTTTGAAGTAAATATTTGTATGGGGATTCACATGAAAAAAAAAGAATAATTTATTAATACTCATTATAGTTGAGAGTAAAATTTAGAAGTACATGTAAAGTAAAACTAATCGTCAAATTACAATTTTTATACCATTGACTAAGTACCTTACTTAAGAAAAAAAAAAAAAAAACCAAACAATTAAAAATAACAAGACTTCTCGGAGCATGGGACACATGTGTATACTTAGAGACAGGGGCGGACCTACAGTGGAGGCAGCTACCCACCCCCACCCCCACCCCCACCCCATATATAACTCTTGTATGTATATATGTATGTATATATAGTACAAGGTTTAAGTATAAATAGAAGCAAACAATTAATATTAACAAAAGAGTAGTTAGCGTAGATGGTAAGATGTGTATGTGGAAGGTCAAGAGTTTGATTCTAACTTATGGCTTAAATGCATATTTTATGGCAATTTAAATAATAGTGGCTTCAACATAGTTGGACTCTCAAAATATATGTATATAGTTTTATATTAATAATAAGATAATGTGTTTTCTAATAATAATAAGATGTGTAATTTATAGTGTGTTTTCTATTAATAATAAAATGTAGTGTAATTTATAATGTGTTTTCTATTAGAATTATTTTATCAAATTAATTATATTTTATATTTTGTTATAAATATTTTTTTCCGCTCATATGTAACAATATTTATGGTTAATTTCTTAACTATTTCATATTTTTTAAGTTATCCCTTTTGTTTTAATGTTTCGCCCCCACTGAACAAAATTTATGGATCCGCCACTGCTTAGAGGTCATCCTAGAAGGTGTGCTACACCCTTGGCAAGCTTTGCTCGTATACTCCGTAACACTTTTTATTAGCAAAATAATCAGTTTCTTATTAAGTAGATGAGTTCTACTACATAGATATGTGAAGCCTGGGAAGGCCACAGGCCACAAAGATCTGGAAAATCCATGGAAGCTCTTTCAAGTAAACATAGATGCACGGACACACATACAAACACACACGCAGACATATTAATTAATATTTAATTAGCTAATAAAGGTAAGGAAAGAGACGTGGAGCTATAAAAATTTCGAGGGGTGTGCCATTGAGGTTGTTTAGTTCGGCCGTTTCAGTCAGATCAATTGCTCCATTAGAGATATTTGAGAGCTCAAAAGAATGTAACAAATTAGCCAAGACCAAGTGCAAAATCTGAAGAGCACTAGTTGTTCCTGGGCATATTCTTCTACCAGTACCAAATGGAATCAACTCGAAATCTCGTCCCAAAACATCAATCTCTTTATTGCAATTGATAAATCTCTAAGGTTTGAATTGAAGAGGGCTAGACCAAACTTATGGATCTCGTTGGAGTTTCCACACATTGAAGAATAGCCAAGTATCTTTTGGAACATGAAAATCAGACATAATGGTGCAATCTTTGGTGAACATTCTTGAAAGTCCAAGTGGACCACCAGGATACAATCTAAATGTTTCTTTAAAAATAGCTTGAAGATACATCAAATGATCAACGTCTGATTCATTCACCTTTCTTTCGAGTAGTGGAGAGAGAAATGGTTCTAAAGCTTTCTAATTCCTTTTATATAGATTTAAGAATCCTGACTAGAGTCTAATTAATAATGGGTCATTTTTCCTTATTCTAACAGGCTTGGGGTTTCATTAAGGGTAAAGGTCCACGATCCTCCGTGAACCATATCAATTAATTAGGGAATCCCGACTGGATTAAATTCTTTTAAACTAATCCTGTAACGAAATTAGTTAAAGAATTAATCCGAATTTAAAGGGCATAACACGGATGTTACAAAGAGAATTTGGGTAATAGACCAGTCTCCAAGATTTTTTGCAAAGCATAGCAATATTAAACACCCTTAACCTACGAAATCCTAGTCCCTTCCCCCACGCCACCAAAACACATTAAGGGTAGTTTCTATTTCTCTAATAAGGTCCTTAGGAAGAAGGAACACTCCCAAGGTGTCCGAAGGTAAAGCTTGTATACTTTTAAGAAGAAGCTCTCTCCTTACCCTTGAAAGAAACCTATGGTTTCAGCCTTGGATGCGATTCACAATCCTACTTTTGATGAACCCGAAAATTTGATTCTTGTTTCTTCCCACCAACATTGGTAACCCGAGATAGTTATCATTTCCTCCCATATCCCCAACTCCCATAATTTGACCCACAGATTGTCTCACCTCTGCTCTCATATTCCCACTAAAGCATAAGGATGATTTGTCACTGTTAGGAATATAGCGTAATAATACAGAAGCGAAGAATCGAAAATTGAGAATTATAGAAGTTAAATAAAAGGAAAATATATTAAAATGGAAAAATATGAAATAATGAATATATATATATATATATATATATATATATATATATATATATATATATATATATATATATATATATACTAGTTTTTTACGCGCATTGCGCGATTAGGATAATGCCCAATGTTTTTTTTTTTTTTTAAATAAGTACTTTAAAATATATCAAGGTAAGATTTTATTGGAATTGTTCATACATAGATAATTGAATGTTAAATTTGTGTATTTAAATAGGCAATTATAAGTTTACAAATGCAAGATAATATAGTCAAGATTGATTATAATTGTCAATAAAATAATTGTATAGGTATGGTTGAAACCAAATACGGGACATAAGGGAGAACAAATAAAAATTAGCCCATAAAATATTAAATATATAGTAATATTGAATAACTAACTTCTGATTGCCAAACAAGGACATTGCGAGATTGTTTCCACTTCAATTTGTTGTATGATTTGATTACTCTTTTCGTCAATAAATCCCCCAAGTAGTTAATATGATTAGCTGAATTATATATATATATATATATATATATATATATATATATATATATATATATATATATATATATATATATATATTAAAACAACAATAATAATAATAATAATAATAATAATAATAATAATAATAATTATTATTATTATTATTATTATTATTATTATTATTATTATTATTATTATTATTATTATTATACCCTTAGGTAATAATATAATTCACTGGTCAAATTCGCTTTTTCAAATATCTTTTTGCCAACCGTTGATATAATTCGCTGGTCAAATTCGCTAATATAATCCGCTAACGCTAACCGCTAACTGCTGATTGTCAAACAAGGACATTGCGAGGTAGTTATCACTTCAATTTGTTGTGTGATTTGAATACTCTCTTTGTCAACAAATCCCTCAAGTAGTTAATATGATTGGCTTTATTAATTATATTTTTTTAATTTTTTCATGGTATTAATAAAATACATGGTAAATAAGTATATAGCATTATTTTGTATTATAACTTTGATATTTAATTAAAAAATAGTGCACAAAAAAAGATATTAGACAATGTAGTGAATATAATCAATTGATGAATTTGAATGTAAAGAATTTTTACATTGGAGAAATATAAAAACAATATAACTAATAAAATTATTTCTCTTAATTAATTTATTGATTATGAATATTTTTTTTTGAATAAACACATTGTAGAGACAGTGTAGCGAATATAATCAATTGATGGATTTGAATGTAAAGAATTTTTATATTGGAGAAAAATAAATAAATACAATATAACTAATGAAATTATTTTTCTTATTTAATTTATTATTGATAATGAATAATTTTTTTTTGAATACAGACATTGTAGACACATAATTCTAAATTAAAGAAATGCATATGTATAATTTTTTGTTGTAGCTACTAAATTATTATTTAATTTAAAAAGAGTAAAATAGAGTACTAATTATGCCAACTTTGATTGGGATGTGGTTCGAACCTAAGACCTTTCTTATTGAAATCAATGAGTAAGTTAACGGTGAACTAACCGAAATTAACGAAAAAGATAATATTTAACAGAAAAGTTAACGGATAATCATATTCATTAGGGAAAAGTGTCAAATAGGTCCATCTACTACTATCAAGTGCTCAATTCCCCGCACGAACTAAACAAAAGGCTAATTAACCACACTTACCTGTTAAGTTTGTTCAATTAACTTTTTTTGCAGGTTTTGCAGGTTGCTAACAGGTTACCAATCCAATTATTAAAAAAATAATTACATTTAAAAAAAAAAAAAAAAACGGAATTTCAGCCGCCACCGGCTGTCCGGCAAGGACAGCCGGTGGTGGCTGAGTATTTTAACAAACAGCCGTGGTTGTCCGGTGAAGACAGCCAGATAGCCAAAAATTCGACGGCCATGGCTGTCTGGGGACGACCATGGCCGTTTGGAACGAGGGCGGCTGCCAGCCCTCGTTCCAGGCCGTTTGAGGTCCAGATCTGGACCTCAAACATGACAATCATGGCTGTCTTCACCGGATAGCCACGGCTGTTTGTTAAAATACTCAGCCACCATCGGCTGTCCTCGTTAGACAGCCGATGGCGGCTGAAATTTCGTTTTTCTTCTTCTTCTTTTTTTTTTAAAAAAAATTATTTTTAATTATTTTTTTAATAATTGGATTGGTAACCTGTTAGCAACCTGTAAAAAAAGTCAATTGAACAAATTTAGCAGGTAAGTGTGGTTAATTAGCGTTTAATTTAGTTCGTGATGGAAATTGAGCACTTGACAATAGTAGATGGACCTATTTGACACTTCTCCCTATTCATTACGGATAAATTAGGAAATCTTAAGGAAAAATTAAAATCTGATCAATCTGAGCCA